TCTGTCCCAAAAATAAATAAACGTTGGAAAAAAAAAAAAAACAATTTAAAAAAAGACTGTTTTTGCTAAACATTGCTAGTTAATGAAAGGGAAGATAAAGAAATCTTAATTAGACTGTAAGTCCACCAGAGAGCTTTCTAAAAGTAATTGCAGTTATTCTCATTATCCAATTATTGGATTAAATGTCTTAAAAAGAGAAAATGATGAACATATTATGTAAAGATACAGTTTTTAGGTATATTTAATCACACACATGATCTTCTTACCCCAAAATGAACCAGATTCTTTGTCATAATTCTGCAAGAGGGTTTGAGGTAACTAGTCTCCCTGATCTTTCCCACATATCACTCGCCAGAGACAGCATCAGGCAAACAACATGAAGTGTGATCGCTACAAAATAGAACTGAGAAACTCACTTCCTCTTTTGCTGTTCAAACAAAAGAGTTTGGAAGAGTTGATCTCCCTAAACTGGAGAAAGCAACTTGGGTTAGGTCTATGATTCTATCTACGGATTTCAGAGATTTGAAAACCCAGTGTGTGGTTGTCCACAAAGGTTTGACATGAAAAGAGTCTTCATATACCCCATGGTTTACCATACATCTACACAGCTTTATCTACCCTCAGCTAAAATTCCCACCCCAATTTTCTTTATTGTGGTTACAAAATATAATAACATAGATTTACCCTCTTAACAATGTTTAAGTATACAGCACAGTATTATTAGCTACATGCACATTATTGAACAACAGATTTTTAGATCTTTTTCATCTTGTATGACTGAAACTCTATACCCATGAACAACAACTTTCCATTTCCTCCCCTCCCCTTCCCCCGACAGGCCCTGGAAACAACCGTTCTATTTTCCATATCCATGAAATAGATAACTCATATATGTGGAATCATGCAGTATTTGTCTTTTGTGATATGTTTATATCAATTAGCATAATGTCCTCAAAGTCCATCCATGATGTAACATATGACAAGACATCCTTCATTTGTAAGGCTGAATAATATTCCCGTGTGTGTGTGTGTGTGTGTGTGTGTGTAATTTCCTTTATCCATTTATTTGTTGATGCACATTTAGGTTGCTTCCACATCTTAGCTATTATGAATAATGCTGCAATGACCTTGAATGTACAAATATTTATTCAAGATCCTGTTTCCAATTTTTATACACATACCCAGAAATTTGACTTCTAAATCATATGACAATTCTTTTTAATTTATTGAGCATCCTCCATGCTGTTTTTCAAAATGCCTGCAACATTTCACATTCCCACAAATAGTGTGTAAGGGTTCCAATTTCTCCACATCTTTGCCAACACTTGTTATTGTCTGGTGTTTTTTTTTTTTTTCATACTGATTATACTAATGGGTATGAGATAATATCTCATTGCAGTTCTAATTTGCATTTCCCTGAGGATTAGTGGCAATGGACCATCTTTTCTTTTTTTTTTTAATTTTTTAAGTTTATTTATTTTGAGAGACAGAGAGAGTGAGCACAAGCCGGGGAGAGGCAGAGAGAGAGGGAGGGAGGGAGAGAATCCCAAGCAGGCTCAGAGCCTCAGCACAGAGCCCAATGTGGGACTCAAACCAACAAACCACGAGATCGTGACCTGAGCCAAAATCAAGAGTTGGACACTCAACCAAATGAGCCACCCAGGCTCCCCTGGAACATCTTTTCATGTGCATTTTAGCCATTTGTATATATCTTCTTTGGAAAAAAAATGTCTTTTCAAGTCCTTTTGTCATTGTATTAAAACCTCAGGCTGCCATAATAAAGTACCATAGACTGGGTGGCATGAACCACAGAAATTTGTTTTCTCACCGTTCTAGAGGCTGGAAGTCTGAGATCAGGATGCCATCATAGTCCAGTTCTATTCTTGCCTTGTAGGCAACCTCCATCTTACTGTGTGCTAGCATGACCTCTCATTTATATGTGCATACTCTTGGAGAAAGAGAGAGATTTCTCTTCTTAAGGGCACTAATCCAATCATGAGGAGCATACTCTCATGACCTTATCTAACTCTAATTACCTTCCAAAGACCCCATCTCCAAATACAATCACATTGGAGGTTAGGGTTTCACATAGGGACCTTTTGGAGAGACATAATTCTTTTCGTAGCACCCAATTTTTAATAAGGTTACTTGGTTTTTTACTATTGAGTTTCAGCAGTTCTTTGTGTAGTCTGGATATTAACCCCTTATCAAATGTATATTTTACAATTATTTTTTCCCATTGCCTTTTAAAAAAAAATTTTTATTCTTTATTTTTATTTATTTTTGAGAGAGAAACAGCGAGACAGAGTGTGAGAGGGGAAGGAACAGAGAGAGAGAGAGACAGACAGACAGACAGACAGAATCTGAAGCGGGATCCAGGCTCTGAGCTGTCAGCACAGAGCCCAACACGGGGCTTGAATTCATGAAACGTGAGATCATAACCTGAGCTGAAGTTGGACGCTTAACCGACTGAGCCACCCAGGTGCCCCTCCCAGTGCCTTTTCACTCTGTTGACTGTGTCCTTTGCTGCACAGAAGTTTTTTAGGTTTAGTATGGTCCCATTTGTCTATTTCTGCTTTTGTTGCTTGTGCTTTTGGTTTCATATACAAGAAATTGTTGCCCATTCAATGTCATGAGGCTTTTCCCCTTGTTTTCTTCTAAGAGCTTTATAGTTTCTGGTCATACATTTAGGTCTACGGTCCTTTCAGAGTTGGTTTTTGTATATGATGTAAGATGAAGATCCATCTTCATTCCCTTTTTAAAGTTTTTATTTTAATTCCAGTTAGTTAACATATAGTGTTATTATATTAGTTTCAAGTGTACAATACAGTAAACTACCACTTTCATACAGCACCCTGTGCTCACCATAAGTACACTCCTTAATCTCCAGCACCCATTTAACCCATTCCCCCACTTACCTCCCCTCAGGTAACCATCAGTGTGCTATCTATAGTTAAGAATTTGTTTCTTGGTTTGCCTTTTTTTTCCCCCTTTGCTCATTTGTTTGGTTTCTTCCACACATGAATGAAATATACGGTATTTGTCTTTCTCTGACTTATTTTGCTTAGCATAATACTCTCTAGCTCCCATCCACATCATTGCAAATGTTAAGATTTCATCTTTTTTTATGGCTAATATTCCATTGTGCCTGTGTGTGTGTGTGTGTTTGTGTGTGTGTGTGTGTATTTGTATATATATATATATGTATATCAAATAAAGAATGCCAAGACTACATCATGGGGAAAGGACAATATTTCAACAAATGGTGTTGGGAAAATAGAATATCCATATGCAAAAGAATGAAAATATCTTGAAAAAGAAAAACAAAGCTGGAGGCATCACATTTCTGGACTTCAAGTTATATGTCAAAGCTGTAGTGATTCAAACAGTATGGTACTGGTACGAAAGACACATAGATCAATGAAACAGAATAGAAAACCCAGAAACGGGGGCACCTGGGTGGTTCAGTCAGTTAAGCGTCTGATTTCGTCTCAGGTCATGATCTCACAGTTCATGGGTTCAAGCCCCACATTAGGCTTTTCACTTACAGTGCAGAGCCTGCTTGGGATCCTCTGTCTCCCCTCTCTCTCTGCCCCTACCCCACTCACACTGTTTCTTTCAAAATAAATATACTTAAAAAAAAAAAAGACTCCCAATCCATGAATATGGGATGTGCTTCTATTTACTTGTGCCTTCTTTCATTTCTTTCAGCAATGTTTTGTAGTTTTCAGTGTTCAAATGTTATACATCCTTAAGTTTGCTCCTAATTATTTCATTCCTTTGGTGCTATTATAAATAAGACTGTTTTCTTAATTTCCTTTTTGGATTGTTCATTGTTAGTACATACAAATGCAACTAATTTTTTAGTGTTAATTTTGTATCCTGCAACTTTGCTGAATTTGTTAGTTCTGACAGATATTGTGTGGAATCTTTAGGACTTTCTACATATAAGACCATGTCATGTGTGAACAACCATAATTTTACTTCTTGCTTTCCAAATTAGATGCACTTTATTTACTTACTCACTTACATACTTACTTATTATTTTTCTCCAATGCCCTGGCTAGGACTTCGAGTACTATGTTGAAGAGAAGTAGTGAAGTGGGCATCCTTGCCTTAGTCTTGATCTTAGAGAAAAAGCTTTCAGTTTTAAACTGCAGAGTATGATGTTGGAGATAGACTTTTCATATATGGCCATTATTAGAGTGAGGTAATTTTTTTCTATTCACAGCTTATTGAGATTTTTTTGTCATAGAAGGTCAGTATATATATATATATATATATATATATAGTTATATATAGTTATATATAGTTATATATAGTTATATATATAGTTATATATATAGTTATATAGTAGTTATATATATATATATAACTATATGTAATAGATAAGTTATGAACATAGGATGAAGCTTAAATGAGGTTTTGTCTATTTTTTTAACATTTTCAGAAAATTAGTTCATGTCACCAGTAGCAGCATAGACTTTGATAATATTTCCAAAACCACTTTCCAATCACCTTTTGGTAGTCCTTGTACTTGCCAGTCCTTAGTCAAGAGTTCTGTGTCTCTAGTGAGTCTCTGGAGCTTAGTAACATTTGCCAACCAAAACACTGATTTCTCATCACTTTATAGTCAGACCTTCTTGGGTGGCATCCAGAGTGGATCAGAATAAACAACACAAGGTGAGTATTTCCCAGATCCTGATGACAAGAAAATCTTTCTCATGGATTTAAACACAGGTAAGAGTAGAAGAATTCAGAGTATCCTAGAAACTGCTGCCTTCCTTTACTGATCTCTTTAGCACAATATCCGAGATCATCATCGCTGTAATAGTTAACAAGAACAGCAACAATATTAGCTATCACTTGTTTTATTTTCACTGTACTTCAGACTTTATTTTAAGCATTTACACAAATAAACTCACTTAAACCTTACAACAACCCTATGGGGGGGGGGGTACTATAAATATCACCATTTATAGGTGAGATTGAGACAAAGACATGTTTGCTTATATACCTGACATCACAGTGCTAGTGGTAGTGCAGTCTAATCTCAAGCTCCTTTTCTAAACCACTTAAAAGCTCATTAAGACTTTCATAGTTTTATAAAATTTACATTATTCATTTGATTCATTTCGACTCAGTTCTTTTCTAGTATGAAGTGAGAGATGAGCTAAGACCCCCTAAGTAAGAGAAGCTTACAAATAATATCAGCAATTTGTACACTCGATCGTCCCAGATGAAAGAGATAGCATCCCCGCCATCAGAGCCTCCCATTCGATTTATTTGTTAATTTATTTATTTAGAGAGCAGAGAGGGGCAGAGGGAGAGAGAATCTTTTTTTTTTTATTATTTTTTTAACGTTTTATTTATTTTTGAGACAGGGAGAGACAGAGCATGAACGGGAGAGGGTCAGAGAGAGAGGGAGACACAGAATCCGAAACAGGCTCCAGGCTTTGAGCTGTCAACACAGAGCCCGACGTGGGGCTCGAGCTCACGGACAGTGAGATCGTGACCTGAGCCAAAGTCGGACGCCCAACTGACCGAGCCACCCAGGCGCCCCAGAGGGAGAGAGAATCTTAAGCAGGATCCACTTCCAGCATGGAGCCTGTCTTGGGGCTCGGTCTCACAACCCTGAGATCATGACCTGAGCTGAAATCAAGATTCAGATGCTTAAACAACTGAGTCACCCAGCCCCCCCGCCTTTTTAATGTTTATTTATTTATTTTGAGAGACAGAGAGAGAGAGAGAGAGAGAGAGAGAAGAGACTCTCAAGCAGTCTCCACACCCAGCACAGAGCCCACCACAGGGCTCAATCCCAGGACTGCAAGATCATGACCTTGAGCCAAAATCAAGAGTCGGTCGCTCAACTGACTGAGCCACCCAGACGCCCCCAGAGCCTCCCATTCTAATAAGAGGAAGCATCTGAAGCCCTGAGTACCTTCAGGTTTGATGACTGAGAAACAACATATAAAATGACTTAAAGACTTCATATGCGTTACATAATATTCTTTAGAAACTCACCTATCTGTGGAGCACCTGGGTGACTCACTCAGTTAAGCATCAGACTCTCGATTTCATGGTTCGTGAAATCTCATCACTGTCAGTGCAGAGCCTGCTTGAAATTCTCTCTCCCTCCCTCTCTCTCTGCCCCTTCCCTGCTCCCTCTCTCCCTCTCTCTCTCTCTCAAAAATAAATAAACTTAAGAAGAAAAAAAGAAACTTACTTAACTGGAACTGATTTAAAATGTTCATACTTGTAGGAAGAAGCAACAGCTCCTTCCTCTGAGCTCTCATTAGGCAACTCTCATGTTCAGAATCGTTTGTGTAGCCTGCTTCTGCCCTGCAGGCTCTTTCTTCTCAGAAGTCCCAGGCCCCACAGGGCCCCTGAATGTTTTCTGAACAAGTAATTCCACGTTTACAGATTACATTAGAAATAAAAGGGTCAAAGAATGCTGAAAATAAGATCTGTGATTTAGATTTTGAATATGGAGACAATTGAGAACCCTCTCAATTGACAGCAGAACTGTAATCTCACATTCATACTGTATCAAATAGCTCATGAGACAATTTGATGATCATTATAATATTTCCTGTTTACTATAACATTAAGAAGTAGCATGTATACAGGGCACCTGGATGGCTCAGTTGAAAGAGCATGGGACTTTTGGTCTCAGGGTCATGAGTTCAAGCCCCATGTGGGATGTAAATATGACTTAAATAAATAAAACTTTTTAAAAAATTAGCACGTATACCATTTTATGGATCAGGAAAACTGAAGAGAGCTAGCTGCCGGTACAACCTTATTCAAACAGAATTGACAGGAACCAGCTAATTTAATTCCAAATATTGTTTCCTGGATATGGCAAGTGACAAATTTAGCATCCTTTTTTTTTCTTCCCCAGTGTTTAGATACATTTCCTCCAACGCTTTCTTTATCATCTTTCCCCTCTCTCTGCTCTGTCACCTCATTTTCCAGACGTGTGCAGTCCCTTCCACTTGTCTACATTTCCTCCTCCATTAAATGTCCACTAGTTTATAGATGATCCCCTCTTTTTATCTACAAGTCCTCACCCCTTTCTTTCACAGACCTTCTTGATTCTCCAGCCAGTTTTCCCAAGTGTTCTCCCTGCCTCCTTCTCACTTTTATGGAGAAATTTGAGAAAATTTAAAGAGAAAGAGTCTTAAGCCATGGGTTATAGTTTTGAATTCAATATCCACATATTCCCTTTCTTTTCCCTCTAGTATTCGGAATCCCCAGGTATTTCCAAGTGTTGTTGAAGTATTAACCAAAGCAATTCATGTGAAAACACATCATAAGCCTTACAGGACTAAAAAAAAAAAATGCCTGTTGTCTTTTAATATGTGACTCTCACATTGAAGGGAACCCACAGAGTGCCATTAAGTAAGGAATCTAGTTTGAAGGAATTCTCAGAAACAGCAAAGTTGCTGAACACAAGTGGCTCAGAGCAGGGCCAGAAACCAGTGTCCCTTCCTGGAGAAGCAAGTACCTCTGGACATCACTCTAGACGAAAATTGGGTAAGAGAAAGAATAATATGGGAACTTTGGTCCCTCTAAGTCCTCCAGAAAGTTTGATGAATACAACCTAGGTATGTGGAGTGGACTTTGGCTAGGCCTAGGTTAAAGCTAGACTAACCTGAGACCTGTAGTTACCGTTGAGGTCTTGGATAAATCTTATAAATTCTCTGAGCTCCTGAATGCTAATCTGTAAACTGAAGATAAGAATGCAGAGCTCATATACTGTTTGAAAGCATTAAACATTAAAGAATTGACACATGCAAGTTGTCCAATAAATCCCTCAGCGATAATAAAGACCATACTTTCTTGGTGTTGAATGCCCAGGCTCTCGCTCGATGCCTAACATGTAATGTGCCCTCAACAAATATTTTCTGAATGAAGAAATGCATGAATGAACCATTTTCTAAGAGGAAATATTGTAAAGTAAGCCTGATAATGGGAAGAAACTAACATTGAATTAGCCATCTACAGTCAGTATGGAGTCTTACTCTCTGAAGTAAGAGTTTGGACAGTGGGGAGAGAGTATATAGAAGGATAAGTAATAATTTATTAGAGGAGATTTTGCATTTTCTGACAAAACGGGACTAACACTCCAGACCCCACCAACCTCCCTCATGTACTCTTTTCCAACTCAGAGCTCAGGAGAAAGGAGATTGGAGTGAAGATGTATAGTCTACGAGAAAGAAAGGGCTTTGCATACCAAGAGGTCAGCGAGCCCCAGGATGATGACTACCTCTGTAAGTGACCATCTTGGCCCACTCTCAGAGAAAGCTGTTCTCTCCTGGTACAATAACTTCATTATGTCATAGGGACCCCAAATCATTCTCCTCCCCTAGTAACCAGGAGTATAGGATAGAGGCTAAATGATGTGTGTTGGGCTAATTCTGAAGCTACTTAAGTGCAGGAACATGCACTAACCCTTTTCCTAACCCCTGTTTCTCTCACTTCCAGATTGTGAGAAGTGTCAGAATTTCTTCATTGACAGTTGTGCTGTTCATGGGCCCCCTACATTCGTAAAGGACAATGCAGTGGGCAAGGGGCATCCCAACCGCTCAGCCCTCACTCTGCCCCCTGGTCTGAGAATCAGACCATCGAGCATCCCTGAGGCTGGGCTTGGAGTATGGAATGAAGCATCTGATCTGCCACTGGGTACACACTTTGGCCCCTATGAGGGCCAGATCACAGAAGACGAAGAGGCAGCCAACAGTGGATACTCCTGGCTGGTGAGAATCATCTACCTCTTCCCCTGTCCTCTGGTTTCCCACATCTCTGCCGTGAATTGGTAGGACATCACCTTCTACATGGATGAGAATAACATGGTTAGTTCTGTGTACTGAGTGGACTTTGCATGAACCTGGTGTTCCTACTTAAAGATCAGGGGGTAAGAGGGAGCATAGGGTACAGACACAAACAGGAAGCTCCTCCCTTGCGGGACCTGAGCTCTGAGTTGACAAAGCGACCCAGCTGTGTAGACAACGACTAAGGAGTACATCATGTGGTCACACTGGGGACTGATTCCATACAGGCTGAAAGACCACTGACCACAGGAGAGTAAAATAATCCCTCTATTACCTCCCCACCCCTCACACACCAAAAAACAAAAAAACAAAAAACAAAAAACTTTAATTTCTCTTTCTCAAACTCAGATCACCAAAGGGAGAAACTGCTACGAGTATGTGGATGGAAAGGATAACTCTTGGGCCAACTGGATGAGGTAAGGCCAATAGAGTTCAGAGCTCCAGAGAGGACATTCACCTCTCACAAACCTACATCCCTTTCCTTCTCATCATGTCTCCCTCAATGGTCTCCCTCAATCCTCTGTTCCTCTTTTTTCTCCATGTAATCCTCTTTTATTTCAAGAGAAATTAATGGGGGAAAGGAGATAAGAATATAGTATATGTCCTCAAAATATGCTAGACAAAATTTGGACACTGGCAAAAACCTGAGGAGCCTAGATTCATCAGGAACACTGGACTCACACTTCAATTTATCTGATCAATGTTTATAAGCATTTACTATGTTCCAGTTTAGACAATGGAGTTCGTGAGTTAAACATATTATACAACCCATGTTTTATGGAAGACATATTGCAGACAGACAATAGACAATTGAGTTTAAGAATATTTAACTATCATTTCCCTGTTTTTCAAGAGGTATACGGTGGAGAGAGAGCTTCAAACAAGGGACCTTTAAAATGTGAGGGCAGTAGCTCTTCCTCGTCTCAGTTCTAATAGAACTGGGTTCTGAAGCCTGTATAGGAATGGGCTACAGTATGGCCACAGGCCTCTGTGCTTCATGACCCAGCCCCTTTCCTTGAGGGGCTCTCATTTTATCAGGGAATGCAGTATGTAAATAAAATATTGCTTTTCTGTGTCATTTTACTAAGACAAAGGAAGCTCCAAGTTTCTATGGGAACTCAGGGGAGGCAAGTGAATGGTACCTCAGACACAGTGCAGGGAGATTGAAGAAAGCCTTCTCAAAGGAAGATAGCCACACTTGGGCTGAGTGTGGAATGATGTGTGTTGATCTAGAAGCAGAGTCCATGGTCAAGCATCAAGTTCTGTGGTATAAAACAGAACTTAATTTAGAGTTCAGAGAAACAAAAGGTCACTGGGTTTTTGTGACCAATCGAGGTGGCAGTAAGTCTGGAATTGGGATTTAGAAAATGGTTAATCAAGCAAGGGGGAAAACATTAAAGGCAGGCTGTGGCCAGTAAGCAGAACTTAGAGATGGGAATCCATACGATGTTGTGAGGGAGACTTGAGTATGAACGGAAGGTTCCTGAGGAGTTGGGGAGTGGGCAGCATCACAGCATAGAGGCCTTGAGCATCGGGGCAGATCTGACACATGATGGGAATTTATCTCCTGTGGTTCTTTTTCCCTTTCCCTGCCTCAACCCCAGGTATGTGAACTGTGCCAGGGACGATGAGGAGCAGAACCTGGTGGCCTTTCAGTATCACAGGCAGATCTTCTACCGAACCTGCCGGGTCATCAGGCCAGGCTGTGAACTGCTAGTCTGGTACGGGGACGAGTACGGCCGGGAGCTGGGCATCAAGTGGGGAAGCAGGTGGAAGAGCGAGCTCGCAACAGGGAAAGGTGGGCACCACTGCTCTTCGAAACAGAAAGAAAAGAAAGAATTCCCCGTGGCAGTTTCCATGTCCAGCTCTCGAGCAGAGTAAAACCCGGTCTAAAATCAGTACGATTGCAATTCAGATGCTTCAGAAATAAGGATTCATTTCATATGCATTGGCCTCTTAGAAATAATTTTTAAGTTTTTCACTTTTGTTATGATTTTTTAAATACCTCGTGCATAAAATGTGTAACAGAACATAGTGATAAAAGACTTAGAGGCCAAAAAATTAAATTTTCAAGCACCTACCAGCTCCCTCACTAAGTCAGTTTCTTCTGCCCTTTTAGCTCTTTCTTCTTAATTTGCTCAGTATTTCTAAATGACATGTGTATGTTGGTGTGCGTTCACTCATAATTTAGTTAGCTGTCATGTGAGTTCCTACTCTGTTCCAGACAGCCTTCCAGGAACTGGAGGTGGCACAAGCTTGTCAGAATCACTGCTCTTGAGCACCTGATAAGTGAATGAGTAAGGGAAACACATGTACAGATGCATGTGTGTGCATAACATCACACAGCAAGTGGTGCTTTGAAAATAAAACTAGTCCTGGGAAAGTGCCTGGGGACCAGTGTGAGGAGAGGATGGGATGGGGCAGAGCTTGGACAGGGAAGGGCTCTCTCTGGACATGCGCAAACACCCAGGGGTAAAGGATTCCAGGAAGAGGGGGCCTGCTAGGAGAGAGGCCCTGAGGCACAAGAGAGGTGGGGCATGTGTGGTATGTGGCTGAGAACCCATAGATACGTAGACGCCCTAGAGCCTGTGGTCCACGCTGAGACACTGGGGTGTTTCCTGACTGAGACAGAACAATTGTGCAATTTTCGACTGGAGAGTGGCGTGTTCTCTATTTTAAGATGATGTTTTGATTAATTTTGGAGAGAGACTGCAGTGGGTAATCCCCTCCAAGATCACTTCATCTCTAAGTGAGAGAGGGTGGTGGGTTGGCAGAAGATGAATGGTGGTTGGGAGTGTGATATATATACCCATACTTGGTCGAGGAAATATTTTGAAAGGACTTCCCATTGTATTTGAGATGAGCTAAGACCGAATGAAATCAAGTATGAAGGATATATTTTCATGTTATGATTTGTAGAAAACTGAAAGAGAAGCAGTTTATAACCTAGTTGGAGCGGCAGGAACCAGAGTCCTTAATCCAGGAGACTGCACTGCTCTGTCTCGTCCAATCCAAATCCCACTTTCAGATAGAGATCCAGACACATATTGGTTGTCAATTAAATATGTCTTTTTAATGTTTCTATTTATTTCTGAGACAGAGAGACACAGAGCGTGAGCAGGGGAGGGGCAGAGAGAGGGGGAGACACAGAATCCAAAGCAGGCTCCAGGCTCCGAGCTGTCAGCACAGAGCCCGACATGGGGCTCAAACTCACAAACGGTGAAATCATGACCTGAGCCGAAGTCGGTCGTTCAACCGACTGAGCCACCCAGGTGCCCCTAAATATGTTTTTTTAAATGGGGAGACTCAAGTTCATATTTACTGCCACATTCTAAGTCATCAAAAGGACTGTTGCCTCTCAATAGAATAAAATCACTGTAGACACTGTCACAGAGTCACATGACTTAGAAGGTGTTTGTATGTGGAGAAAGGTCATTGTAGTTCCATTCCTATAAGGAGGGAAGCTTCCTCTGATGCTGCTTGAAGGTACCTAGTCTGGGCAGTACATAAAAAAGACCCTTGAAATGGGCTTTCTGGATTTACTCAATGTAGTAAGTGAAAATGGAATGGAAACATAAAGGAAAACTTGGTGGGAGACAGATCTTGCATTGTCAACACAATAAAAATGAGTAGTGGGGCAGGCCTTACCAGGAGACAAAGCATACAACGCAACATCTACCTGACCAAAAATTTCCTCTTTCAGCAGAACCACAGCGAGACATCCATCGATGTCCCTCCTGCTCGCTGGCCTTCTCCAGTCAGAAATTCCTCAGCCAACATGTGGAATGCAAACACTCTTCTCAGAGCCTCCCACAAATATCTGCAAGAAAGCATTTCCAACCAGAGAATCCCTGCCCAGGTGATCAGAATCAGCAGCAGCAGCAACATTCTGATCCACACAGCTGGAATGACAAAGCAAAATGTCAAGAGGTCAAAGAAAGATCCAGACCTTTGCTTAAAAGTATAAAGCAGAGGAGAATTTCAAGGGCATTTTCCACCCCATGCAAAGGACAAATGGGGAGTTCTAGAGTGTGTGAGGGAATGGTGGAAGAAGGGCCCAGCACGGGCCAGAATTTGAATTCAGAGGATACAGGAAAATTATTCATGGGGGTAGGAATGTCAAGAATTGTAAGAATCAAAAATAGAGGCTGTGAGCAAGGGTTCAATGACAGATCACATTTCAGCAGACACCAACGAACACACAAAGAGGAAAAGCCCTCCGTTTGCAATGAGTTTAGAAGAGACTTCAGTCATAAGTCAGCTCTTATTACACACCAGAGGACACACACAGGGGAGAAGCCCTATGTTTGCAGGGAGTGCGGGCGAGGCTTTACACAGAGGTCACATCTCTTCAGACACCAGAGGACACACACAGGGGAGAAGCCCTATGTTTGCAGGG